GGAGTGGAACTGGAGATCTTTCTCCATGTGGGATGATGCCCAACCAACTGAGCCACACTGGTCAGAGCCATGATCTTTTCTTTAGTTGTGTTCTCTTTCCTAGGGTTTAGAACTCATTGAGTTAGAAATAATTACTTGAAAGGCCTTATTCAGAATTACTATGCCTAATTATGCACACTCTTCCCTCTATCTTATAAAATGCCCTTTTTGCCCTGGCTGGTGTGGCTCAGTGGATTGAGTGCTGCCTTCGAACCAAAGGGTTGCCAGTTTGATTCCCAGTCAGGGCACATGCTTGGGTTGCAGGTCCAGTCTGCAGTAGGGGATGTGTGAGAGGCAACCACACACTGATGTTTCTCTTCCTCCCTTTCTCTCTCCCTTCTCTTCTCTCTAAAAATAAAATAAATAAAATCTTTAAAAAAAAACCCATCTTAAAAAAATGCCTTTTCTTACTAATGGTTTTATTGGTCTCTGACGTTTGAAAGTTTTGATCTTTTCCTCTTGTCTTCTATTCTCACTACTGTCATTCCATACCATGTATCCTCCCATTCTTTATCATACAATATATGAATGTCAGTTTATGTTTTCTTGACCAATGTACTCATTTTGTCTTTCTCTTAAACAGAAAGCTTTACTGGCTTCTCATTGTTTTTCCAATTAACTACAGATTCTCATTGTTTTTCCAATTAACTACAGATTGCCCTATGCAATCTCCATATTTGTCTCCAACCAACCATTTTTGCTGAATGTATCTTCTGTGGCTCTTACACTTTCCATTGCTTATGTGTTGCTCATGTCATTTCCATCAAATGGAATTTTCTTGCCTCCTGGCTAGTCTTTGCTTTTCAACATCCTTCAGAAATCCTGCTATGTTAACTTCTCCATCTTATAGTGAATGATTGCCTTTTGAGTGCTCAAAATGTTGATCATTTGTATCATTCATTTTCTATTTAATGATGTAGCCTGTGGTCTTATTTTTAAAATTCTGTGGACAATTACATTGTCTAACTGCATGAAGACAAAAGCTCTGTTTCAACTCCCTCACCCCTTTGCTCAAGGTATAGGTGCATTTTAGGAAGGTTTTAATGTCAGTTTTTCTTGCATTTGGCAGAAATTCACAAAACTGGGGACATTTGTAGATGATTTGGGGCATTTGGTGATACTTAGGTTGATCCAAATTGCTTGGGTTTCCTAAGTAATATTGGTCTTACTTTAGAACAGTTAATTTTCTGGGTTGATTCAGCTATCTGGAATGTGAGGTGGAGTTGTTTATATTTTACGGCCATTGGTTGTTTTGGAGTAGGCCCTTCATCTATTCAATGACACTTTAAGATATGCAATTTGATCTCTTTTCCCTCCCCTTCTCTTTTTAAAAAAATGAAGTTTCTCCCTGGCTGGTGTGGCTCAGTGAGTTTAGCGCTGGCCTGGGAACCAAAAGGTTGCCAGTTCAATTCCCATTCAGGGCACACGTCTGGGGTGTGGTCAGGTCCTCAGTTGGGGAAGTACAAGAAGCAACCTATTGATTTTTCTCTCATATACCAGTGTTTCTTTCCCTCTCTCCCTCCCTTCCCATCTCCCTAAATAAATAAATAAAACCTTGAGAAATAAAAAGTTTTTAGGACTTTGTCCCCATGACATTTATTTTTATTGTAAGGTTTTGTATTATTAGCTTTTTCACATATTCTCTTGTTGGAAGTCATGTATGATACATTCCTCATGTAACAAGACTAGTGGTATATACTTTTTAAAACTTTACTCACTGTATTAGGAAAACATGGTACTATGTGTGTGTTTTGCCTTTTAAAAAAAAATTCAAATACATCTGCTTCCAGGCCTTTATGTTCTGTGTGTACCTTATTTACAAGTTATTTTTCCTTTATATCTTTTTTAAATTGTATTTTTTCTATTGCCATTTAGTCCTCTTATATCCCCTTTCCTCTTTATATAGTTTTTAAAAGATATAATTCATGTCATAAAATTCCCCCTTTTATGGTATACAGTTTACTGGTTTTTGGTACATTTATGAAGTTCTGCAGTCATCACCACCATCTAGTTTTAGTTTCTTTTATCAACCAGAAAAGAAATGCAGTAACCATTAGCTATCACTCCACTTTGCCTCTTTTCCCAGCTTCTGGCAATCACTCTGTCTGCTTTATGGATGTGTGTATTCTCTACATTTTATGTAAGCAGGATCCTCTAAAATGTGGACTTTTGTGACTGGCTTTTAAAAAAATTTACCATAATTTTTTGAAGGTTCATCCATATTGTGCTACATATCAATATTTTATTAGTTTTTATTGTAATTAATACTACATTATATAAATATACCATATTTTATTTATTCACTCATCAGTTGATGAACATTTGAGTTATTCACAGTAATGCTGAAATATGAGTATTGAATATTCACGTACAGGTTTTGTGTAGACAAGTTATAATCTCTTGGATATATACCTAGAAGTAGAATTGATGGGTCAAATGATAACTCTATTTAACTTTAAAAAAATGTTTTTTAAAAAGATTTTATTCATTTATTTTCAGAGAGAGGGGAAGAGAGGGAGAAAGAAAGGGAAAGAAACATCAGTATGAGAGAAAAACGTCGTGCCTCCAACCAGGGACCTGGCCTGCAACTCAGGCATGTGCCCTGACTGGGAATCAACTAGTGACATTTCACTTCACAGGCCAGCAGTGGCCAGCGCTCAATCTACTGAGCCACACCTGCCAGAGCTTTGTTTAACTTTTTGAGGAATTTATATATGTTTTCCAAAGTGGCTATACCTTTTTACATTCCCACCAGCAATGTATGAGGGTTCTAATTTCTTCATATCCTTGCCAACACATCTCTCCTTCTGATTCTTTTTGATATTGTAAGTAGAATTGTGGATGTGAAGTAGTATTTTATTGTAGTTCAATTTGCGCTTTGCTGATGACTGATATTGACAAGCATCTTTTTAGGTGCTTATTGGCTATATACATAGCTTATTTGAGGAGATGTTTGTTTATATCTTTTGCCCTTTTAAAAATTCTGTTATTTTATTTTAGAGTTGCAGAATTTTTAAATATCTCTTGGATACAAATCTCTTATGAGATAAATGATTTGGAGTTTTTTCCCATTCTGTGAGTTTTTTCCTACCCTTTTTAATGGTGTATTTTGTAACATAAGGTTTTAATTTTGGTACAGTCCAATTTACTAAAAAATTTTCCTGGTTGCTTGTGCTTTTGGTGCCATATTTAAGAAAGCATTGTATAATACAAGGTCATGAACATTTGCCCCCTCCCTTTTAAAATATTTTATTTATTTGTTTTTAGAGAGAGGGAAAGGGAAGGAGAAAGAGGGGGAAAACATCAACATGTGGTTGCCTCTCACGTACCCACTCCTGAGGATCTGACTCTCCACCCAGGCATGTGCCCTGACTGGGAATCAAACCAGCCACCCTTTGGTTCTTAGGCCAGCACTCAGTCCACTGAGCTACACCAGCTACGGCTGCCCCTTGGTTTTCTTTGAAGGATTTTATAGTTTTAGCTATTACATTTAGGTCTTTGATCCCTCAAAGTTAATTTTTTATATATGGTATGAGATAATCTAAATTCATTCTCTTGTTTATGGATATCTAGTTGTCCTAGCAACATTTACAGAAAAGACTGTCCTTCCTTTATTGAATTGTTTTGACATCCTTGTTGAATTGAACATAATTTGGAAGGCTTATATATCTGGACTCTTAATTCTGTTTCATTGATCTATCTGTTTATCCTTAGTGATATGTCTAGATCACACTGTCTTGATTACTGTAGTTATGTAGTAAGTTGTAAAACCTAGATAGGTGTGAGCCCTACAGTTTTGTTTTTCTTCTCAAGATCATGTTGTATATTCTGAATCCCTTACATTTCTGTATGAATTTTAGGAGTAGTTTGTCATTTTCTGCCAACAAAACAAAACAAAAAACAAAACACCACTGCTAGGATTTGACAAATGATTCTTTTGATTCAGAACAATTTGGGGGATATTGCATCTTGAAGATGGTAAGCCTTCTGACCTATGTACATGACTGTCCTTACATTTGTTTAGGTCTTAAAATTTTTTTAACTTGTGTAATTTTCAGCATATACATCTTACACTTTTTTGTTAAATACTTTTCGTAAGTATTCTTTTTGCTGTTATTGTAAGTAGAATTGTTTTCTTAATGTCATTTTTAGATTGTTTTGCTAGCATGTAGGTAAAAAATTGAGTTTTGTATGTTGATTTTGTATCTTGCATCCCTGTTGAACTGTTTATCGTTCTAGTTGTTTTTAGTGTTTTTTTTTTGTATACAATATCATGTCCTCTTCAAATAGAGATAACTTTACTTGTTTCTTTATAATGTAGGTGCCCTTTATTTGTTTTTCCTTGTTGTCCTGTCCAGATTTCCAGTATAATGGTGAATACGAGTGGTGAGAGTGAACATTGTTGTACTGTAATGTTCCTGAGCTCAGGGGAAAGCATTCAGTCTTTCACTATTCTACTGTCAGTGCTGAACTGTTTGTAGGTGCCTGTTATCATATTCAGATCCCTTTTCTTTCTATTTTGAACTTTATTTTTTCCTCACGAAAGCGTGTTGTATTTTATCAAATTTTTTGTTTTTTTCTCTCTGTTGACATGATCATGGTGTTTTGTTTTTTGGTCCTTTATTAACATGGTGAATTACATTGAATTTCAATTATTAAGCCAAACTTGCTTTCCTGGGATCCCTGCTTTTCATGGTGTATACTTCTTTTATGTTTTGTTGCATTTGGTCTGCTGGTATTTCCTTGAAGATTTTTTGCATCAATATTTATAAGATATATTGATTTGTAGGTTTTCTTCACTTATGATGTCTTTGTTTTGTTTGGCAATCATAGTAGTAATACTGTCATAATGAGTTTGGAAGTGTTCTATCCTTTTTAAGTTTATGGAACAGGTTATGAAGGATTAACATTAAATGTTTTTTAAGACTAAAGGTATATTAATTTTTGTTTTTATCTTTTAGGATTCTCCTTTTACAAATGCAGGAATGGGATCTAATCTAAATCTCTTGGGTGAAATTGAGTGTGATGCCAGCATAATGGATGGAAAATCCTTAAATTTTGGAGCTGTTGGAGCACTGAGTGGTATGTGGACATTATAACACACAGTCTCTATTCTTTAAAAAATTATGAATATTACTAAAGACTTATTCCAGTTTTTTTCCATTATTTTTGCTTGGAATAGTGCTGAAAACAAACATTTTCTTTCTTCAAGATTTTATTTATTTATTTATTTATTTATTTAGTAGAGTATATTTTATTGATTATGCTATTATAGTCTGCCCGGTTTTTACCCCTTTATCCTCCCTCTGCCCTGCACCCCTAACCCTCCAGCATCCTACCCCTTAGTTCATGTCCATGGGTTGTACATATAAGTTCTTTGAATTCTCTGTTTCCTCTACCATTTTGACCTCTCCCCATCTATTTTGTGCCTACCAATTATGCTTCTTATTCCCTATACCTTTTACTCCCTATTCTTCCCCTCCCCCTCCCCACTGAAAACCCTCCATGTGATGTCCATTTCTCTGATTCTGTTCCTGTTGTAGTTGTTTGCTTAGTTTTTGTTTTCATTGTTTTTCCTTTTTTTAGATTCATTTGTTGATGGTAGTCAGTTTGTTGTCATTTTACTGTTCATAGTTTTTGCTCTTCTTCAATTTCTTAGATAAGTCCCTTTAACATTTCATATAATAATGGCTTGGTGATGATGAACTCCTTTAACTTGACCTTATCTGGGAAGCATTTTATCTGCCCTCCCATTCCAAATGATAGCTTTGCTGGATAGAGTCATCTTGGATGTAGGTCCTTGCCTTTCATGACTTGGAATACTTCTTTCCAGCACCTTCTTGCCTGTGAGGTTTCTTTTGAGAAATCAGCTGATCGTCTTATGGGCACTCCTTTGTAGGTAACTGTCTCCTTTTCTCTTGTTGCTTTTAAGATTCTTTCTCTGTCTTTAATCTTGGGTAACTTAATGATGATGTACCTTGGTGTGTTCCTCTTTGGGTCCCGCTTCTTTGGGACTCTCTGGGCTTCCTGGACTTCCTGGAAGTCTATTTCTCTCACCAGATTGGTGAAGTTCTCCTTCATTATTTTTTCAAGTAAGTTTTCAATGTCTTGCTCTTTATCTTCTCCTTCTGGCACCTCTATGATTAGGATGTTGGAACATTTAAAGTTATCCAGGAGGTTCCTCAGCCTCTTCTCATTTTTTTGAATTCTTGTTTCTTCAGCTGTTCTAGTTGGATGTTTATTTCTTTTTTCGTTCCAAATCATTGATTTGAGTCCTGGTTTCCTTCCTGTTACTGTTGGTTCCCTGAATATTTTTGCTTTATTTCACTTTGGGTATCCTTCATTTGTTCCTTCATTTTGCACTCAAGCTCAATCAGTTCTGTGAGCATTTTGATTACCAGGGCTTTGAAGTCTGCGTCAGATATGTTGGTGATCTCCTCTTTCTCTCTTAGTTCTTTTTCTGGAGTTTTGCTCTGTTCTTTCATTTGGGCCATATTTCTTTGTTTTAGGGTATCTGTTAAGTTGTTAGGGGGTGGGGAATTAGGTATTCACCAGGGCAGGGTAACCCTCTTTGCTGCATTGCAACACTGTCTGTGGGGGAGGGGCCAGAGAGTGAACAGTGCAGCTTGCTTGTTGGTCTCTAGCCCCACTTTCCAACGAACCCTCGTGTGAGACTGGGAGTTTCTCACACTACAGCAACTGCCACTGTAGTCCACAGTCAGCTCTGAGTCTCAGTTTCCCATTCAGCCTGCATGGTCCACTGTCTTGCTGCGGGTTCTCTCTGTCCTCCCATCTTACCAGTCTGTTTGGTCTGGTTGACTGTTTCTTTAATTCCTTGGTTGTTGGAGTTCCATGCAGTTTGATTTTCTGGCACTTCTGGTTGTTTATTGATTTTAGATTGGTTGTTATCTTCCTTTTGGTTGTGCGAGGAAGCGAAAGGTTTCCACCTATGCCTCCATCTTGGCTAGAAATCTTTTACTTATTTGTGGAGGGAGGAGAAGGGAGGGAAACATCCATCATTTGTCTCTCCCACACCCCGCTGCTGGGGACCTGGCCTGCCTGACTGGGAGTCAAACCTGCAAACTTTTGGTTCACAGGGTGGTGCTCAATCCACTGAACCACACCAGCCAAGGCCATTTTTTTTTCTTTTACTGAATTTAAAACATGAAATTTTAGCTACAGCATGTCTTTGTTAGAGTTTGATCATTTTCTGTCTTTGTAAGGGATTGTAGACATTTAAAATGTGTTAGTGGATTTCCATTCAAGATGGTGGCATAGGCAGACATGGCTTGCCACTTTGCACAACTACATCAAAATTACAACTAAAATATACAACAACCATCACTCAGAACCACCAGAATTCAAGTTGAATAGAAGTGTGACAACTACAGAATTAAAGAAATACATCCATCCAGACTGTTAGGAGAGGATGCAGACACAGAACAGGCTGGTCTCTCACCCCTGTGTGGTGGTTAAAAATTCAGGAAGGATATCTCAGGAGTGAGAAGTCCCAGCCCCATACCAGGCCCCCACAGTCCAGGATTCCAGTGGCAGGAGGATAAGTTCCCACAACTTCTGGTTGCAAAAACCAGCAGGAATTGAGTCAGTGAAAGAAACTGCTGGAACCTCAAACAGTTCCTCTTAAAGAACCCACACATGGACATACCTGTGGGGGAGCTCTATCTGCAGGGTCCCCCTGGCTGCCCTGGCCGATGTGAATAAGTCTACCAAGACATGATTTGCTTGGGGAGAAAAGGTGGCAGATCTTTCAAAGGACAAGGGCCAGGAGCCTGTTCCTCAAAGGGCTTTTATTGGGTTTGATTTGCATAGGAATACAGGTAAATCTCATCAGTCACTGTCAGGCAGTAAGGATCAAAAAATAGATAACGTTCAAAGAACTGTGAGGGCTTATTCTGAGTCAGGGTCAGATAGCTAAAGGGCCATAAAACTTTGGAGAAACAAACTCATTCTATGCTTGGACCCTTAACATTTAAATTGAGGGCATTCTTAGCAAGGCAGGTTTCACAGGATAAAATGCATTCTTTTTTAGGCCTGATGTCACCCTGGGTAACTGCTCATTCCTGCCCAGGGTTGCACTGCCCTCCAGGCTTAAGTTAGACAAGGGAAGTAAGACAGCCAAGAGATTAGGAGACTTCTTGCAGACAGAATGAGGACTCAGGCTATATCAAAGCTGAAGGGTGAGGGTTCATCACCCCTCTTTTTTTTTATAGTCCTCTAGGTCCTTCCCTGAGAGTCCCTTCTCGACTGAGCCCTTCTTAAGTTGTCACTCCCTTGAGGAATCTTACCCATCATTGGCTAACCAGTCATCTGGCCAGGGCCAAGCAGGATGAAGTAAAAGGTGGCAGAGGCAGTGCCCCTACTGGGAAGATAAGCTTTGTCTCCTTAGTGGCTTATGGTCCCAAGATACTTTATCAGCCTTAGGTATGGGGTGTTACAGCTTCTGAAACCAGGCAGGGCTGTTCCCAACACATACCTTCTCAGAATGACTCCTTCTGAGCTCTAGCACCAGGGTAGCAGCTTGAAATGCATTAGTGGCATACAAGGAGAAACTGAAGTGTCTGGCATCAAGGCAAGCTGAGGCCATTGTCCCTTTTCTAAACCCCCCACCAATAGAGTGGGCAAGCTGGTGCCATATCTGAGACTCTGTCAACTTGGCTAATACTGTTAGACCTGCTTTGGGAGATCCCCAGAGATTCTGCCCCACCCAACTTACAGACCCACCCAAGCTGCTTTTCCATGTGAATGGATGGTCTTGGCTAATGCTTCACTATTTTTTAAATCCTCTCAAACAAGCAACAGCTGGCTTCAATGAGCCCCAGGTTCAGCACTGGCAGTTGCCAGCCTAATTCAAACCTTGGCTTCACCTGGGAATCTGCAAGCCCAGCACAAGTAGAAGCCATCTCAGACTGCTTTATAGCCCAGGCAGGGTGGTCCAAGGTAAAACACAAGTGGAGGCTGACTTGGCCTGCACCAGCCGGGAAACCCCAGGGCCAGCTCACCATTAGCTACAGACCACATTGGACCACCAGCACCCTGTCCCTATATAGCTCATATTCCACAGAGGGAGGATGTTGGTGGTCAGTGGTCAAAACCAGTCCTTGCCTCTGACTGGCCTGGGTAAATCCCTCCCATTGATCTGCTAGCAGCAACCAAGGCTCCACTATAAGAGGAGGGTGTATTCAGCCCACAGGAAGGGCATACTTTGATAGGAGAGGCTGTGCCACTGGTCACTAAAAGACCCCTACTACATTAGGCTACACTACCAAGATACAGAGTTAAAGCAGCTCTACCTAATATATAGAAACAAATATAGGGAGGCTGCCAAAACTAGGAGACAAAGAAATATGGCCCATTTGGAAGAAGAGATCGGAAATTCAGAAAAGGAACTAAACAAAATGGAGATAAGCAAACTAGGATGCAGAGTTCAAAACACTGGTTATAAGGATGCTCAAGAAACTTAATGAAGACCTCAACAGCATAAAGATGTTCCAGTCAGAAACAAAGGATATATCAGGTGAAACATAGAACAATTTACAGGGAAACAACAATAGAGAGAATGAGGCTGAGAATCAAATCAATGATTTGGAACATAGGAAACAAAAAACAACCATGCAGAACAACAAGAAGAAGAAAACAGAATCCAAAAAAATGAGGATAGTGTAAACAGCCTACTGGACAACTTCAAGCATTCCAACATTCACATCACAAGGGTCCCAAAAGAAGAGAAAGAGCAAGAAATTGGAAATCTATCTGAAAAAATAATGAAAGAAAACTTACCTAATATGGTAAAGGAAAGAGACATGCAAGTCTAGGAACACAGATGGTCCCAAACAAGATGGAAGCAAAGAGGCCCACCCTAAGACACATCATAATTAAAATGCTGAAAGTTAAAGATAAAGAGAAAATCTTAAAAGCAGCAAGAGAAAAGCTGACAATTACCTACAGGATAATTCCCATAAGATTGTCACTTAATGATATTCAGTACCCATTAATAATAAAAACCATTAGCAAACTAAGGTTAGAAGAAAAGTTCATTATGATAAAGAGCATTATGAAAATCC